AAATATAATATGGAGGGTGCTTGAGAGAAAAGAAATGACGAATAAGTATATTGAGGTGATAAAGGACGTGTATGACGAGGCTATAACTACAATTAGGTCTTTCGTAGGAGAAAGTAAAGAATTTTCAATCACAGTGAGATTACACCATAGCTATTCGCCCTAAGTATGGATGAATTCACTAGGCACATTTAAGATGATATCCCACGGTGTATGTTATTTATAGATGATATTGTATTAGTAGATAAAACTTGAAGCAGGATTAATAATAAGTTAAAAATTTGGAGAGAGACACTAAATCGAAAGGGTCTAAAATAAGTAGTAGTAAAACTGAATATATACAATACAATTTTAATAATAAAAGAAGTAGACATAATGAAAAAGTTAAGATTAAAAATCAAGAAATACTAATAAGTAAATAATTTAGATATTTAGGATTAATTATTAAAAATGATGGAGAGATTGGAGATGATGTAATTCATAAAATCAATGCGCTTGACTTAAGTGGAGGAAAGCTTCTGGCATATTATGTGATAGGAGGATACCAATAAAATTGAAAGGTAAGTTTTATCGAACAACTATAAAGACAACAATGTTGTATGAGACAGAATTTTGACAACTAGAAAACAACATAGAGACAAAATGAGTGTAGCAGAATGAGAATGCTAAGATAGATGTGTGAAAAAATTAGAAATGATAGAATAAAAAATAACCATATTAGAGAAATGGTAGGACTAGCTCCAATTGCGGATAAATTAAGAGAAAATAGATTAAGATGATTTATTCATATTCAACAGAGGCCAATAGAGGCATCGATTCGAAAAAGTGAGATAATCTCTCTTAATGGTATTAGAAGTAGGAGTAGATCTAAATTAACATTGAACAAAATAATAAGAAAAGATATGAAAACATTTAACTTAAATGAGCGTATAGTGCATGATTAAAATGAATGACGAAGATAGACTCATATAGCCGACCCTAAATGATTGAAACATAAAGTTTGGTTAGGTCTGCTTAAACGTATACATCGGTAATTCAAAATTAAAATTTAATTTGTTGTGTTAGATTTAAGGGTTTTTTATACTTTGCAACCTACAAGATCTTAAGTTTTTTATTTTATACACTCAAAGATTAAATTTTTTATATTGTACCTTCAATATATCAAAAGTGTTGCAATGTGATCCTTTTATTAGTTTCCACTATTTTTTTCGTATGCTTCAAGGTTCTTACTTCCACTATTTGTGGAATATCACTTGCAGAGAGTTCGCCCTTAAAATGCATTCATCTGCCTCATTGCGTTAGTTGATATGCAGTATAACAAAAATTAAACAGAAAAGTCACATTGTAATATTTTTAATACATTGAGAAGGTGCAATATAAAAAATTTAATCTTTGATAGTACAAAATAAAAAACTTAAAATCTTTTAGGTTGCAAAATAAATTTCACCCTATATTTAATGAATGTAAATTTGGTATCTATTTAATAAAGTAGCTAGCTTTCTTTGTCTTTAGTTTTTCGCGGCTCAAATTACTTGACGGATTATTGATCCGACAGTTCTCATATTAGATTTTTCTAACACTCCTATCTCTCATCTAACTCTCTCCCCTTATCTCATACTAGCTGATTCAAAAGACGCATGTCTCTCAACTAATTCTATATCCCTATCCCATACTATAACTCTCTCCCTATCTCATCCTAACTCTTTCCCTGCCTCACCCATTTTTAAAAATAACCTATCTGTCTCTACCCGAGACTCCTCTCTCTTCTAGCTCTCTCATTTTTAAAAACAAATAACCTATCTATCCCTTATCTCAATTGCAAACTCACTCGACACACCTCCAGTAAGTTAACTATCTCCCGATAGCCCTCTCTCTCTCTCTCTCTCCCCCTTTTCTCTTTGTCTCAACCTTGCCCTTGCAACACACAACCGAACACATACCACATCGAAGTAACACCCTCTACCTTCCTAATTGTCTCTACCTTGTGCCTACAACACATGCCGAACCACCCATTGCAACACCGCCAGGAATCCAGGTATTCCCTCTGGATCTCTCTCTCTAACTGTGCGTACGTTGTGTGTGAGTGTGTATTCTGGGTTTTTTGTGTCTCTGTGTCCTGGGTTTCTTCCCTTCTCTCCCCCTCTCTTTATCACGCTTTCTTTTTCTCTGTGTTCTGGGTTTTTTGTGTGTACCTGTGTGTTCATGTGTTGGAGATCGAAATATGTCATGTCTAAGATACGTTGGAGGTTCTATTGTGCCTTTCGTGTAGATTTCTCTTTCATTTTGTGTGTTTGTTGTAAAAATCTGTTGACACATTATAGGTGGATATAGAGTGATCCAATTGGTTACTTATTTGTTTTGGAGTGTTGGGTGGGCAGTGGTCAGTCTTTCCTCTCTCCTCTGGCTAAGCTTAGACAACGGGTTGGGGTGTTGGGCTCACTTACATATCATTGCCCACCTTGGCCATTCAATGATTGACCATTTGTGTATTTTGTGTGCCTATGTGTGCATTGTGTGTTTTGGGTTTTGTGTGTGTGTGCGCGCTCATGTGTGATCATGTCTGTTTTCATTGTGTGTTTATGGGTTTCGTCTCTCTCTCTAAATGTGCATGTGTTTTAGATTTTTTGTGTGCCTGTGTGTTTATGTTAGCATTTGTGTGTTTTGGGTTTTTCTTTTTTGTGTGTGTTCATATCTGTCTTCATGAGTGCGTGATTTTTAATAGTATAATTTTTATATTTGTTGATTTATAATTTTTTTTTATTTTTTAAATAGTTATTGAAATTTGATTTATCTTTGTGACAGGTTACATTTTAGAGTGACAATATTTTTGTGTGTGTTCGTGTCGGTGTTTATATATGTGTGATTTTTAACAATATAGGTTTTTATATTTGTGGATTTATAAAATTTTTTTAGTTTCTTAAAGAGTCATTGAAATTTGACTTAATATATTTTTTTTGATTGATTACACTTTAGAGTGACGATATTTGGATTGATTTGAATTGAGCTCTAAATTTTTGATATCGTAAGTACTCCATTTCCTTACTTACTTTCTATTGTAATTGAATTTATTTCAATTATGGTATATGTGATATTTTGACTATTTTTTTGTCAATTTAATTACTATTTTCTCACAAAAGCTACACCTTATCAAAATACAAATTTTTTTCTTCGCCAGGTAAATAGTAATAAATTTGTTCTTTTTAATTCGTATTAAAAATTTGTTGCGTGATTATCATTAAATATTTGATCTTTTTAATTATTTTTTGTCTTGATTTAATTGTACATGCTTTGACATGAATTTATTATTATACATAGATGTTATGAGTTAAATGTGTATTGCTATTTTCAAAAAAATATATAGGTTCTACACATTCTTTTGAAAGCTTGTTGAATTTATAATAGAAAAAGTTAACTCAAAATAAAATTCAATCTAATCACCAATAAAAAAAATAAGTCACACCAATTGTGCAAAAAAAAAAAACAAAAAATAAATAAATTCAAAACTAACCTAATCACCAATATCTAATTCACAAATTCACCTTTCAAGTTATTATTCATACAAAATAAAAAAAATCTACTATAAGCAAACATATAGTTCTCAAAGTAATAAATAAAAAAAATAAAAACTCAAGCTAATCACCAATAAGAAAAATAACTGATACCAATTGCCTAAAAAAATAAAAAAAAAAACAAGTGACCAATAAAAATAAAACAATTCTGAATTGGTATGAATGTTTTCGGATCATTTTTTTTTTATTAATTTTCATAATTACTTGCGATATTTTTGTTTATTAAATAATTTCTTCAAGCATGAACAATGACTAGTACTACAATATTTGATTCAACTATAATTTGATCCAAATAATGCATTTATATTTTGTATAAATTTATGATGAAATTAAGTTATTATTTGGTAAAAGTGTATGAAAATTTAGATATTATTTATTAAAATACTACTCAATTTAGTTATTTAGATTTGAGCGAATTATCAAATGGGATATGATGGCTTATGAAATTAAAACCAGTCGGGTAATCGAATCAAAACTTTTTTACTGGATTCGGGTGGAATTTAGTTCGATTTAAATTCCACAAGATGACAGATCTAACATTATGGTTCATATGGACAAAATAAGTATTACACAAACAATGCTACGCTTACTAAAATTTGTATGCCAAATTAAGTGATTAGATATGTGGATCTTATTTATTTTCAGTAATAAAGTAAAGTTATTTTTGAATTTCAAATTCACAAAACAGATCAAATTGTTTCGGGATAAATTAAAGAGCAATGTTATTGAGACACTAGTCATAATCCGTGGCTGAAGGCAAGATGAAATATAAAATTCGAGTCTCCAAAAAATCTATCCCATTATATTAAATAATAATTTTTCTTTCTTTCTTTTATTTGATTACATTATTTAATATTTATTTTTATGAATTATTTCTTAAAAAATATCAACCTAACAAATTTTCTCAATATGTGTATACTATCGTGTATAGATAATGTTTGAAATAAAAATTATGTTAAACTATAAATTAATCAAATGTTAAATGATTAAACATGTGATAGAAATGAATGATGAGATGATTTTGGGGGGAAAATATGTATGAAATAAAATTTTAAACACCTATAGTTTCATTATATAGATAATTAGGGGTTACCCGTGCCTGAATGCACAATGCAATGTGAATGGTTTTAAGAGGAATATTTGTGGCCGTTAAATGAATCTATTTGAGACCATCAGATGAACTTATTGAAGTCTGACCTATTTTATATTATAGATTTAACTCATTTGAGGATATAATGATTGTGACAATTAGATATATATATATCTATATATATATATTTTTTATTTTTTCGCAAATGTTGACTCAAATCAAGCTTTAAGGTGTCGCTGTATCATTTTATAAATATGAGGTGTCTCCATGTTACCCTCACAAAATGTAGGGGATGGAAGTGTAATTCACCCATTTGCTAGTTTTACTTCCCCATGTGATATCAGAAGTCTAAACCCCCCAAACCCACGCAGACCATCATCAGTATCCCCACCAGTCTCCACTGCCGATGGCGCTGTGCTCTCACCGTCTCCGCCGTGCACTTTCTCTCTCCTCCTCTCTACTCCACCAACACCACAACCACAAACCCCTCTCTTCTCCCCACGCACTCTCCACCTCATATTGTCTCTCTTCCACCACCCAATGCCCTAGCTTCACTCCCCCTCTGCTTGAGCATCATATCCAAAACCTTTCGTTTCAATCCAGACTATTCAGGTCGTCTACGATTTCATTACGACGTCGATACGATGACGACATCGAAGCGGACAAGATTGGGCCCGATACGATTCTATTCGAAGGATGCGATTACAATCACTGGCTCATAACCATGGATTTCCCAAAAGACCCTAGACCTTCACCGGAAGAGATGGTCGAGACCTATGTCCAAACCTGTGCCAAAGTCGTCGGAAGGTCATTTCCATCTCTTTCTCTCTCCACCCCGGCACGTACACACACATATGTTCATATATGTGTTCTGCATATAATATACTTCAGTTTTCTTTCACGTTGCTGAAAGAATTGAGAAAATTAGAGATAGACTGAAATGTTGAAGTCATGCGTTATGCTCTGCTTTTGACTAAGCTCATATTAGCTATGCATATAAATGAAGGGTTTTGTTATAGGGTTTTGGGGAAAAAATACAACAAATGAATCAAGGTTAGTAAAGAAGCAAAATAAAAAGAAAATAAAAGGAACTGAATTTTTGTTTCTTATATTATATGTTTGCTGTTTAATAGGAACTACACCCCTTGATAAAGCACAATCACTTAACAAAATTCATGTAACAGGTCCCAGTTGGGATCAAGCTTTTTTGAGTTGGGATGGAGCTTCGTTATGTTGAGTTGATGTTGTTGTGTGCTATTTTCTGTCTTTAACTGAGATCAGGTTGACTGTTCATAAGGGCAGTTTTTTTTTTGGGTCTTATAGGGTTTTGGGAAGAAGGAGGTTGTGGAATTCATTTGATTTCTTATTTCATGGATATTGTTGATGGCCAAACAGAGATTTTTGGGAAATGATATTAATGAAATTGGATGGGATGATACCACACTTTTCTATTTTGGTTTTATAAAATCTTGTCCTTTTTATTGGTGCCTTTTAGCTTTCACAATGTAATGCGGAAAATTATATAACATACTGCTGTTGCTAGGGTGCATATTTTGATTAAGTTAATGAACCAGAATTTAGTGTTCTAGGGGTAAGTCTTGGTGCAATAGTAAAGTTGCTTCACTGTTGCATGGGTGTCAAGGGTTTGAGACACGAAAGCAGTCTCCGTGATAAGATTGCGTACATCTAACTTAGGGGCATGCATTGTAATGACAGTCGCCTTGTGCACTGGGCGCTACTTTTTGTGAATTTTGGTGTCCTCATGTGCTGAGCGTACTCTGATGGGTTAGTTGGTGGCTTTGCCATTTCAATTATGGCTCATTGCTTCCTACCACTTTTAGCTCATGTACATGGAAATTGATATGCCTGTCACTTTTCATTGTCCCTTGGTAATAGTGAGGGGCAAGGTGGGAGTGTTCAAGTCTGCTAGGACATTGGATTGGTATAATGAAATGACAAGCAGATTGTAGCTGGGTGATTTCTATGACATTCAATTCCTTTCTTGTTGAATGATCTGTTGACTGGTTTTATGCATTCTGCAGTTTATAATAACTTTTTTGGCTTAGTGGCCACATATTGTTGGACACACATTTTAGTCTAACTTTGTAATTTCAGTGTGGAAGAGGCAAAAAAGAAAATCTATGCTTGTAGTACGACGACTTATAATGGGTTTCAGGTTGAATGCTCTGAGGAAATGTCTGAAAAGTTTAAAGGTAAGCTTCAAAGCATTGTTTTGTCAACAAAGAATAATCCTGCTTGCTGATGCTAAATTTTGTAATTTGTGTTATCAGATTTACCTGGTGTCGTATTCGTGTTACCTGATTCCTACATTGATCCAGTAAATAAAGAGTATGGAGGTGGGAATTTTGCTTGGTTACAGTTAATTGACAGATTCCACCAATTTCACTAGACTAAATCTTGGCTTTTCTAGTATATGAATAAGTTAGCATATTAAATGGGCTAAAATTTTTATACTTTGAATTTCAGGGGACAAGTACATTAATGGAACAATCATCCCTAGGCCACCCCCTGTCCAATATGGGAGGCAAGGGGGAAGGTATAATGATCGAAACAGAGATTTCAATCGACAAAACTGGCCAACAAATTTTGTTCCACCACAGCAGAATTATGGTTCACCGAGGGCACCTCCACAGCAAAATTATGGTCCAGCAGGGGCACCTCCACAGCAGAATTATGGTCCACCAGGGGCACCTCCACAGCAGAATTATGGTCCAGCAGGGGCACCTCCACGGCAGAATTATGGTCCACCAGGGGCACCTCCACGGCAGAATTACGGTCCACCAGGGGCACCTCCACGGCAGAATTATGGTCCTCTGGGGGCACAACAGAATATTCCTCCACAGCAGAACAATGGTCTACCAGGGGCACAACAGAATAATCAACATCAGCAGAATTTCGGTCCACCGGCAGCACACCAGAATTCTCCACTGCAGCAGAATTATGGTCCACCAGGAACAGGCGAAAGAAGAGATCCAATGCCTTCATATCAGCCAAATTACAATCAACGGGAGCAAGGAAATTATTATCCCCAAGGACAACAGGATTTCCCACCAGCAGAACAGAGAGGTTATGTACCTCCTCAGCAGAGAGACTTCAGGGCAGACAATCAGAGCTATGCAGCTTCACAAGGTGGAAGTTACAAGCAAGGTGGAACCTTTGGGCTAGGAGTGGGTGAAGTTCAGGGGCAAGGGATGGGTACTGGCTATGGGCAGGGAGAAGATCAAAGGTTCTCACAGGTGGAGCAGAGGAATAACACTCAAGGGGAGCAAAGGAATTATGCAGCTATGGGGAATACAGGGACTGACCAAGTAAGATATCTTTTCTTGCCATAATTATTGTCTTATGCGTGGACAGACAAAGTTTATTGCAGTGTTGAGAACTATGTCAAAACAGACAAAGTTACTGTTGAGTCCATTTTTCATTCAAATGTCGGGTGAAGTTTGAGTGAGAACAATATTCAATGGGTTAGGAAAATATATTTTAATAAGAGGTGTTAAAAGGCTTAATGATGGCATTAGTCAGTTATAAGGGTATTGAAATTTGATAACTCCACCAGTATTAGATTTGGGAAATCAGTTAGCGGAACTGTTAATATCACTACTATCACACAAGGATTTTATCCTTCATGTTTTCACATTGTGCTTCGATTGAATTGCTAGAAGATTGATGATAGGCTTGCAGGGTTCCTGGACTATGCTTGAAAGGATGAGAGAGAATACGTCAAGGAAGTGCAATATGGATGACATTCATGATTCTTCATTGGAAGAACTTCTGTCTGCAATGCACATATCTTTATTTTCCTGTATGAATAAAAAACTGTTAATGTGTCTGGAAGTGGATAGGATGTTTATACACGAGATCTCTGACTTAAGGATGAATGATCTATTACAGAGAGAGGCCATGGTTTTAAGTGAAACAATATTCCTCTATTCCTTTTTTTGGATTTTGAAATTTCTTTCTTTGGGCTCATTCTCCCTCTCTCTCTCAATGCAATTGATCAGCAGCACTTTTTCATTAGTAAAATAGTTGGTCTCTGGTGGCCATTAATGTAGGTGACAATTGTTCGGAAAGTCTGCTGGGATCAGATAGGTTTCAAATTATTTATTTTCATTTTGGCTCTTCCTGTAAATGTCAGCATCCTTGAGACATCAGTTTTTCCCACTATCACTGCCTTTGCAAAATACTGTTATGTTCGATGAAAATGTAGTTGACACGGCAAGGCAAAATTCAGTGTAATTTTTACCGTTTTAGTGATAAGCAGGGGAAATTTTCTGCCATGCTCTCTGATAGTTCATATTTACTGGCAACTTTGTTGACTTGTTTGTTTTTAATTTTCCAGGGTCGATACTGAGAAGAGTCGAGCATTTCTTTGAGCTGATGGATAAGGGATGCTGGAAAGCCATTGAAGGTGACGAGAACACTCAATATCTTCATCTATGCTGGCGTGTGTCTGTGAGTTTGTTTGCTTGGAGAGAGACAGAGAGAGAGAGAGAGAGCTTTGTAGAACCATTATTGTGCCAATGTTTCCGCCTGGTAATTTTATATTGACTTGTCTAGGTAAATAATCCCCTTTTGTTTCTGATTATGCGAGTGGTGAATCGGAAATTTATAATCTCAGCATTCGGGTCCTGATGTTGCTGCTGCTGAATTATGCACCTCAGGGGCAGTGTGATTTTGGTGTCTAGTTCTTTTCATGTTGATACCTAAGCTGAAAGTGCAAGACTAGAACTGCCATTTTGTAAACCTGCATGACCAGCATATAATTTGAAGTTGCTCATTGACCTTGTGGTGGGAATCTGTCAAACATACAGATTCTAGAGTACAAACATAAGAGGTGGAATAGTGTATGGGTACTGGCACTCAGGTTTAGTTCCTCACTTTTTCTTTTTTCCCAATTCATTCAGCTACCACAAGAGACTCAACCAATATATAATGTGTCCTTTACGATCCTACATCGGTTAAAAATAAGTCTAGATGTGTATATATAAATTCTTGGACACCTTTCCTTTGGAAGTAAGTTTTTAGGGGCAAGTTTCACCCATGGGTTTGTTGTTGAGATTTAACACGATTTAAATCCACTAACAAACACACACAATCGAAGAACAAATCAAGAATATAAAGCAATAAGAAACAAGAAAGAACGAGACACAGATTTTATGTGGTTCGACAATTTGCCTACGTCCACGAAGCTGCAGGGATTTCACTGTTGAGAGAGTTGAATACAGAGAGCGGCTATACAATCCACACTTAATCCTAATCACCAAAATAACAGGGTTTATATGTCCTACGCACTGGGTTGTATAACGGGCCCAAAATTTTTTCCCTTCGCTCCATGGACTAAGCCTCAGAAATTTTTTCATTAAAAACCACACAACATTACTTCGGGTCGGGTCATCATCCGGATTACATATACAAACTAGACTTCAAAAAAAAACCCAACATTTATAACAATTGGTATCAAAGTTAGACATCACGTCGAGTATAAGATCAAACACAGTGTGTGCAGTGGCTCTTTATGGTCGAGTTACGGAAAGGGTAACTTAGTTGGATTAAATGACTTGGTATTATGTACGAGCATAATACTATTTTATTGAATACTAATAGGTGAATGAAACTACCAAAGGGAAAAAGTTATTATTGGGCCAGTGTCAATAGAGTAGGTTGTCGTGGACACCAATTAAGGAAGCGCGGTGGAATGTTATGATCTCATATTAGTTAAAAATAAGATTAGATGTATGTATATAAACTTATGGACATCTTTCACTTGCAAACTAGTTTTCAGAGAAAGTTTTATCCATTAATTTATAACCGCATCTTACTTCAACACATAAGGAGTGATTAATTTAAAATAAATTGAAAGGTATCTAGAATTTTGATAGGTATCTTAACCTAAAAGTTGAGGTAGAAGCAATGTGTGTGCAATATTCACAGTTTATCTAATGTTATATTTAGGAAGTTCTCAATTCATAAATGCACAACAATGATTAATATTGATTTAATTTTTATTTATTTTGATCCAATTACACAAAATTTATTTAATTTTTTTTATTGCTAAAAAAATATGATATTTCTTTGCACGGCTAACAATGTAAGACAATTCAACCAACATTCCTTAGTGCTAGACAATCCTACATTTCACATTTACCTTTCTTTTCTCTCTCCTTACATTTTTCTTATTTGTTCTTTGTTCAATTTAAAATGTTCAATTACGTAATTAAATAAAAGAAAATAAAATAAAAAAATAGTTGCTATTTCAAATACAAATATTGTACAATCAAATTTTATTTTTTGATACTGCAGAGTGTTTTCAAGCACATGATTATTGCTTAGTAAACTTATAATATGTAAGCTTTTTTTTTTTTTTTGGCTTAACGATAAGGAGTGTTTAGGTCAATTTACGTACGTCTCAACTAATCCTCTCCCCGACCGGATCAAAGACCGACCATATAATATGTAGAGCAATGCTATAGAGACCTTATTTGGGGACCTAATGATGTGGCTTCAATACAAAAATTAGATTAGTTGTAAGTTTCAATGTTAAATGGTACCCACAACCAACCCAATGATCGTCTTGAATTAGATCCCTAGATTAGGTTCCCAAATAAATAACATTTTCCTGATGCGTAAGTTGTGTTTATGTTTTTCAATTTAGATGTAGAGGCTGAGACAATAAATGAGAGAGAGAGAGAGAATATGCAATAGTGAACGATTTCAAGTAATTTCCTTCATGACTAATTACCTATGTACCACCTAATTGTGGTTATTCATTTGGTATGGTTGTTAGTAGTAAAGATAAATGAAAATTTTGATAGAGTAAATATCTGGTGAAATACCAACCCTGGTCTCTTTCTTCATATTAGTCAAAATGACAGACTCATTATATGATTGCACATATATAATGTGAGAGGGTGAGAGTGTGGAAATGGTGGTTAATTTTTCCTATGCGTAATTATTTGAATAGGTAAGAATTACGTTAATTATGATTAACATTAATAGACCGAATCAAATCTATTCTTAATTATATAGTATTAGTGGTCACCTCCTGTAATGTATGACATTTACGGTATCTTGACACCCCCACCCCCACCCCCACCCTCACCCTCACCCTTATTGGAACAACATTTCCAAGATTTATTTATGACGTAAATAATTGATTATAAAAATTTTATTCGTCTATTAATCCTATAAGATAGAATTAAAATTTATCTTTGATGAGCAGAATAACACGAACAAAAATGATGCAAATTGAACAGTGGCACGACTTTTACTGTATGTTATTTTATGCCAAAATCCAAATGTAGTATAGGCTGTAATTCTCCAAATTTTTTTTCTGTTTTTTATTTCTGTCTCTTCTAAATGTGAAGGTAAAAATTATGATTGAGAGAGTCAGATAAAATATTAAGCTTGATTTTAAGCGTGTATAAATTTTAAGAAATTTATGTATAATATTCCAAATATTAAAAAATCTAAATAATTAAATGACGAACCTTAAGACAGTTCTCCCTAAAAAAAAGTGGCAAATTTAGCCAACAGTAAAAGTGGTCGCTGGTGTAACCGTTCCATCTCTTGTCTGTCTACCATTTCCCGCCAAATTCGCTGGGTTGTGGCCATTCCCTTTCCCCAAATTACAAACTAATCGAGCTCTTTCTCTCTCCGCCATCTCCGTCTCTCGTCCGCCCTCTGATACTGCGATTCGTCGCTTCTCTTCTTCAGGTCAGGTAATTCGCAAAGTAACTAAATTTCGTTTCTGAAACATTGAAATATTTTAGTTTTTAATGAAAAATCAAAACGAATCCGTTATTGAATATCGATATTTATAATTCGCAAAGTAACTAAATTTCGGTATATTTTGAGGTGTTTAGTATCTTTCGGTATATTTTGGAAATAAAATTTTAAATTTTCTCTTTATTTTTATCTCGTTTTCGAAATGTATCTGAAAACTTTCCATTTTCAAAGGTGACCCAAATTATGTACCGAAATAAAAATTTTGATCCTTGTGTCAAATGTCATTCAGATGTCAAAGGTTTTTAGAATATTTTGTACTTTCCTTTGCCATACTGTGCTCTGATTTTTGTATCTTGTCTCCTATTGAATGTTGGGTAATTGTTGTTTTGAAATATGGTTTGTGAGTTATTGAATGGTGGGTATGTATGCAACCTTAATCATGTGTTGTTTCTATGATTTGAACTCATGATAAAAAAATTAACTTTACCACTACGCTAAATCAGTTTTTGTTCATACTAGTTGATGCATACAATGATTCCCTTATTGGTGTAAGAAAATGTAGAATTCTAGAATGTAGTAACCAACTATATATATACGTTAAAAATCATGATATTAATTCTTTAAAACTGTGCATATCTGCAACAATATCTTTTTTTTTTAATAAAATGCTACAATATCCTCACTCTTGTAATTCTTCTAACTCCTGAGGTCCCTCTGATTTTTTAAAAAATCACCTCTTGACCTTTCAAATTCGATTTCATTTCAGAAGACTAAAGAGTTGGCACCGGAAAATATTGATTTGACTTGGGTTAAGCTAACTTGGCCCCCCAACAGTTTGAATTTTCTGGCTCAGCCCCTGGTAAAGGCATAGTTGGTTACATTATTATGAAGCAGTTTTTGAAATATCCCATTATGTATGATGATTTAGGTTTGACACAATTCAGATGAGTTATTATGCTAAACATGCCTGTTTTTTGTAATCTGAAACTTGATTCAAATCATGATCTGTTCAGCAGCAAGTTACTTATGTGTTAGTAAATTCCCAATACAAGTATTAAGGGTAGGGAGAGGATTTTGAACCCTATTTAACCCACAAAGTTTCCATGGTCTTTTATCTGCAGTATGCAATGCATAAGTTGACAGATTATTCTACCTAATTATGCTTTCCGTGTTCATTGGCTTGTAATGTATCATGAGTGATCCCAATTCACAATCATTATTGTGACCATGTCTTTAAGCAGCTGTAGTCCAAATAGTATTGTCATCCAGGCTCTTTCATGTTTCACATTCAAGTTTATTTGGCAAATTGTTTAAGTCTCTAAGTGGGTGATATCACAACCATTTTTATACTTTCTTGCGAGTGTGACCAGCTCAATAATCAATTTTTCTTTGAAGCAACAATCTACTCATACTATAGTGCACAAGGAATACTGACTCAGACATACATCCAATTTCACACATTCTTAATTGTGGGCATCTTCTCAGAATCAAAGTAGGTATTTTCTTTTTAATTTTTCCAACCAATGACTGGAATGCGAGTGTGAGTGGGCTTTTAACAGTATAACATCCATTGGCTATTCATAAAGAAGATGATTCTTTGCATTCATACAACTGTCATTTGTGGTACTTTCGGGTGAATTTGAATTTTTAGTCCACCTAATTTGGCATAAATGGCCAGTTTATTGACAAAAACATGAATAAGAATTTTCCTATTATAAATGGATGTGAAGTATCTTTTACTTCGGTAATGTAGACACATCAAAATCTATATATGCATATAAATGTTGCTTTAGGTGACATGATCTTTTCACATTGTCTGATGTTTTCAGTGGGGACGATTCTTGGATCAGTTCCATCAATCTGTGCCCTTGGAGGAATGGTTGTGGAAAGATGTATTACAAGTCCTTGTTTCATTTTTAATTTGATTGCCTTGTTACGCTGATGAAGAATATGCAGCTGTACAACAAATGGACCTTTAATCCCAGGGGAAGTTCATGAGCTTCAAGAGTAAACATTTTCAATTCTGGATGATTGAATGAATCTTTCACACCTTTAGGAAGAAAAAGTTATCATCCTTGCAATTGTGGTGATTGGGCAGCTTGTTGTCAACGTAAAATAGACAAATAAACCTATGTACAGTAAGCATAGGATTCATCAGGAAGCTCCAAGTCCCAATGGCGGGTGATTTCGATGTTTCCCAGAAGGCTCTCGATGATGGGGTTCCCGTCTCTGGGGAATCTGTGTTCTTGCATGGAGAATTGGATTTGTGGATTATGGAAGCAAGGTCTCTTCCAAATATGGATTTAGCTTCGGAAAATTTGAGAAAATGTTTTACTATGTTTGGGAATTGTGGACCACCCTTAGGCACAAAAAGTAAGAATTCAGGCAAGCATTCAAACCGGCATTCAATCATAACTAGTGACCCCTACGTGTCCATTTGCCTAAGAGGGGCTACTATAGCTAGAACTAGAGTAATTTCCAACTCCGAAAACCCTTTGTGGGATGAGCATTTTTGTGTACCAGTGGCTCACCCTGTTGTGAAAGTGGAGTTTCAGGTCAAGGATAACGATGTTCTGGGTGCTGAGCTAATTGGAGTTGTGGGAATATCTGCAGAAAAGATACTTTCAGGAAATACAATTAATGGTTGGTTTCCTATAGTTGGACCTTATGGGAATACTTCAAAACCTTATCCTGAATTGCATCTTTCTGTTAAATTTAGATCAGTTGAGGAGAACCCCCTATATAAGGATGGAGTTGGTGTTGGACCTGACTATGCTGGAGTTCCAAATACGTATTTTCCACTTCATAAAGGAGGGAGTGTGACGCTTTATCAGGATGCACATGTGCCTGATGGGATGCTACCTGAAATTTTACTTGACAATGGGAAAGTTTTTCAGCAAAACAAATGCTGGGAAGACATATGTCATGCAATATTGGAAGCTCACCACTTGGTTTATATTATTGGGTGGTCCATATACCATACAGTAAAGCTTGTGAGGGAGCCAACACGGCCTTTGCCTTCTGGAGGAGAACTTTCCCTTGGGGAACTGATGAAGTACAAATCCCAAGAAGGGGTTCGTGTGGTTATGCTCATCTGGGACGATAAAACTTCCCATGACAAACTTTTTCTGAAAACGGTAATGGTCATCGCTTACAGATTCTTCTTTTTTTGGTTGCTTTGGCTAATCAAAATTTGCTCATAGTTGACATTGAAAGACAATCTAACAATATGACCAATTCTGATCTTTTTAATACCAGACCTATTTCTTTCATTCTCTAGATTTCTGTTCTTTTTTTTTTTGAATTTTTTAATGGTAACATTATGAGGATATGTTAATTGATGAGATGTACAGTAATTAAGTGAATTCAAATTAGTGGCATATATGCAGTATTTTGTTTCATGGGCTTAAATGCAGGATGGAGTTATGCAAACTCATGATGAAGAAACCAGAAAGTTCTTCAGACACTCAAGTGTCCATTGTGTGCTTTGTCCTCGTTATGCGAGCAGTAAGCTTAGTGTGTTCAAGCAACAGGTGCGGAATTATCCTATATTTGAAAGATAAGAATATAAGGTGACAGAAAACTACTTTTATGGATTCATCACTTATAGATATTCAATTGTTATATGTGAATTTTATCTATACATATTTCTGTTATGCCATACTAACTAGAAATCCAGATACAGATACCTATGCAATTTTTAAAAATTACATTGTCATCATGGAATTGGATGGAATTCTTAGTCCAGTTTTTTCGTTTCTTTTTCCCGTTGACCATTTTTTCCCAGGTTGTGGGAACCCTTTTTACCCATCATCAAAAGTGTGTGCTTGTTGACACTCAAGCTCCTGGGAATAATCGGAAAATTACTGCTTTTATTGGTGGTCTGGATTTATGTGACGGCAGATATGACACTCCTGAGCACAGGCTATTTAATGATCTCGACACTGTCTTTGCAAATGATGTTCATAATCCAACATTTAATGTAAGTAACATTATAGCAAGGCTAAAATTTTGTTTTGATACATGAGCACTTGATTTTGAATAGATGGGCTTTCGAGAAAGTATGTAATGTAAACTTGAAATGTTTAATGGTCTTATCTGAGCATTGGAAACTTGTTTGGCACTCATTCTATTTGATCAATTTCTCAATTGTAATATTTTTCTTTTTCTATTTTTGATGTCAATATTTGAGATTCCACCATGTCTTGTGACAAAATGGTAATATGAGTTCCATGATCTATGTTTTCTGAATATTTCTGTGACACTAAGGCTAAGAGTTTGTACTTGTCAAATGGTAAACATGTCGAAAGCTTGTCACTCATATAATACATGACATTGGTGATGTTAATGATGCACGTTTAACCCCATGACTGGTAGCAATGGTGCTTGTTTGGTAGTAGTTCCCATCATACATTGTTATGTATCCAGGCCATGATTCTTCATCCGTTATATGCACGCATGGCTTGATAACAATGGTGCTTGCTCAACAGTTCTTGCCGCCACACTATGTGATGTAGTAAGGATGTGTTTGTGTGTCCTAGTAGTTCAAGTGGCCTCATTGCATTTCCATATATTAGAAGTGAAAAATCATTTTGGGGGAGCGGATCATTGAAGAATTGAGACTTGACCTTGTATGATGGTGTGGAATCATATTTGGTTTTCCCAGGAATTTTATGTATATATGATTCAGTAATGGCTCCCTTCAATGTGGTAGATTACACCTTGATTATATGGAAAATGCGGGAAGGCCATCCATTTTCTGAAAACTATTGAATTGTTACTTCCTTCCCTTTGTATTGGATCTTATGAGGTCTGTTTAATAATGTTCAGATTAATTATTTCTGTAGCTTGTTGGTCGACTTGCTAATCAGCTCGACCTCTTTTCATCGGTAAATCACTTTTTGTCGTCTGTCAAATAATCTATATACTTATTGGAGTGTCAATCTACTTTGCTTAGGATTTAAGGTTTAGGGTTTAGGTGACTTCCTCCTAGTAGGGAGGTAGCTAGGCAAACTGGTTCTTTGTGGCTTTCCTCCAGGCTATGTTTTCATTCCTTCAGGACTTGCTCATTCCCATCCTTCTATTGTGCCCATCAGCAATGTAGTAGGGTCCTCGAATCTGCTTATTCTGACAGCCTAGTACAGAAATAGGTAAGCCTGCTAATGCCAATTTGGTATCCTTCCAAAGGCAAGTGAAAGCCCCAGTAACTCCAACGCCCTTCGACCAGGTAGCCCAGTACAGTTAGATTGTCTTACTGATCTATACTAGTTCGCTCTCCGAATTGCTAGTAGGAATGCTCATAAAGTCCCCTTCGGTGGAAGAACTGGCTCTTAGGTGGGGAACAATAATAAGAACAGCTTCAGTGGAGAATGTGGTTAGGCCATCAAATTATCTGAAACTGTTTAATTTTTACATCCTTCCCTCCCTATTTGATCTTTAAGGTATGTTAATTATGCTAAAATTAGTTCTTTTAGATGAGTTGGTGTTGTCTTGACAATTCTATGTGATATTATTACAGTCTTGTGCCGGTGGCCCAAGGCAACCATGGCATGATTTACACTGTAAAATTGAGGGTCCGGCTGCTTATGATATAATGACCAATTTTGAACAAAGATGGAGAAAAGCAGTAAAATGGAGAGATTTTAAGATAAGAAAGGTCAGACACTGGCATGATGATGCCTTGCTAAAGCTAGACCGGATCTCGTGGATACTGTCTCCGTCTTCTAGTCCTGATGGTGACCGTGTTGTACATGTTACCAATGAAGAAGATCCTGAAAATTGGCATGTACAGGTTGGTGATTGATATTCCTATTATAACTGATGTATCTCTATTGCATTTGAACATGATTTAGGCCAATTATGATTGGTGGTTATCTACTCTTGCCAGGTGTTTCGATCAATAGATTCAGGGTCTGTCAAGGGATTTCCAAAGGATGTTAAGGAAGCCGAGGCACAGGTTAGTACTAGCCCACTAGGTGTATGCAATGCCTATAGAGTTCAGTATCTACTTAATTAGTTTCAACCAGGTTCTAGTCAATGAACTTTGTGCCCACTGTAGTATTGTTATTATGGGAGATCATGCTGAATGAAAATACTAGTTGTGTGGTTCCTCTAATCTCCGTTCTTATTTCAGAATCTTGAATGTGGAAAGAACTTGAAAATTGAAAGAAGCATACATGCAGCGTATGTGAAAGCAATAAGATCAGCACAACATTTTGTATACATAGAGAACCAGTATTTTCTTGGATCTTCATATTACTGGCCATCATACAAAAATGCAGGTGTGTAAATCACTATGTTTCCAATTTTTTATGTCCATCTTGCTAATTGTGATGAACTTTTATCGTTTTCTGTGCATCTAATAGCATCTTTGATACAAAGGCTGTCTCTGTTCTTACTAGAGCAGAGAGATGGTAGATTGGAATGTTCCTTAGAATCTCTCGTTCACTTGGCTACTCTTTGTGAATTTTTTTCATATGCACAACTGCAATTCTATGTCCTTGAAATAGCATTGCTGCAATCTATCTATGGAGTTTCCTTTGTGATGTCAGTTGTATGGATGTTACAGGGGCAAATAACTTAATTCCTATGGAGCTTGCCTTGAAAATTGCTAGCAAAATAAGGGCGAATGAACGTTTCTCTGTGTATATTGTGATTCCAATGTGGCCAGAGGGTGAACCCACTAGTTCTGCTGTACAGGAAATACTTTTTTGGCAGGTTAGACTTACCTATAAGTTCTCTACATTATAGAGATTTTCTGCAGCAAATGGGCTCGTGTTTCTAGGTTCACAATTTCTGCATTTATCTAGGAGAAAATGTGATTATTATTTGAGTCTGCTCTTTTCTAAGAGTTTATTCTTCTTTTTTTAAAGACTAATATGATATGCAACTGCCTACAGGGGCAGACGATGGCTATGATGTACAAAGTTGTTGCCCACACTCTTGAAAAGGCAGGCCTTTCCGAAGCATATCACCCACAGGATTATTTGAATTTTTATTGCCTTGGTAAGCGCGAAGCTTCATCTCCACAAAGTAGACCTCAAGCTGATCTGTCTACTGAGAACGGCACATTGGTATGGTACTTTTCCTATTCTGGGAAATTGTTAATAAGGTTGAAATTATGCTGGGGACTTGTTTACGAGTGCATATGAAAATCAATACCTGGGGGCTAAATGGAGGCATTGCTGCTTAATTTATGGATAATTTCAGGTTTTAAAGGCTCTTGTGATGCTCCTGCCATTTACAATGCCCTAGTTATGTTTGTTACAAATAATGCATGGCAATATTTCTTGTATCAAATTGCTGATTATTCTCTGTTTGGTGGTGGTGGTGGGGGGAGAAGGGGGGGGGGGGAGATAAGTTGTACCTGAAATTAATTAAGCTGTCTTATTGTACACTAAGGTGGGCTAATGTGAATGGAGTCCCATGGATTTTCTAGCAACAATAACATCAACAATGTTTTAGGAAGTGGGTTTTCACTCATTTCTATAGGTGAGAGATGGGAGTTCAGAAGAACAAAAAAAAGGGAAATGGGTGGCTGAGCCAGCTGCTACCTCAGCTCAGCCATTGCCTTGATGTTGAACAAACCTATGGTGTTACTCTGTGTTGAAATAGGCTAATAATATATGGAATATGGCTTGTATCCTGGTCCTTATCAAGTTTGTCATGTGCTTTTTCTTCAAAGTGGAAGTCCGATATTGAGTTTAACCACAATTTGGTTTACATCTGAAATACTTTCCTTTTTGTACTGTTGCACAGGGATTAGCTCAAAAGTTCCGCAGATTTATGATCTACGTCCATGCCAAAGGGATGATAGTTGATGATGAACATGTTTTAATGGGATCTGCAAACATAAATCAGAGATCTATGGATGGTTCAAGGGACACTGAAATTGCTATGGGAGCTTATCAACCAAATTACACTTGGGCAGGGAAGAATATTCATCCTCATGGCCAGGTTTGACACTTAAAAAAAAACTAATGTTTTGCTTGTTACAGATACTAAAATGGTAATAACTGCAATGTACGGACTAAGATAATTTGACCCTTGCAATGAAATTTGTCCGAAACTTGTTACGAGGGCTCTGATCATAACTGATTGCTTGGGTTGAGCAAGAAAAATAATGGAAGAAGTTTTCTTATCTAAGAAAAGATTACTGAATAGAATTAATTTGATTAAGTGGGAAACAAGATTGAAGTGCTCAATATAGAACGAAACTTCTAATCTTAGTATTAAAGATATGATTGGATACAGAGAGACCTATCACAATCTACATAGTTTCTCTGTATAGTCTGGACAAGTATAGATTATATGTATGTGTGATATTTATCTGTCTTGGGGATTTCTTATGCAGTCAATAGGGTTGAGATCATGTATACAATTACTGATTAATAGCGCATCAGATGTAGCTTGTTAGATGTTTGGTCCATTGATGTAGGCATAATTTTTCTTTAATATCACAATGGTTCCAAGTGGTTGACCATGGGACTATCAATGGAGCATAGTATGTCATGGCCAGACACAGGCGTAACCCGTGGAAGATTAGAGTAGTAGATTAAGTCTGGTTACAAACCAAACCAAACCAAACATTATAGTGGATCCGACAAAGTTTTACGCTAACTGTTGGCTACCTAACGCAACCCTCCTCCTTTATCCTGACTTGGGACAGGTAGTGTTTAGATTAAGTCTGGTTCTTGGAAAAAAAACAAACTCAGTACAACATGTGGAGAGAGTGGTGGTTCAAACTCAAGTTTCACATGCAAGGGGGAGTTGAAACCTGAAGTGGTTCACACGGTAGGGAGAGATTGCTGACTTTTACGTATGCATCAAAAGAAAAAAATAATAAGGACACCTTAATAGGCTATGTATGAGTTCATTAAGTGAGGGGGTTAAGTTTCAAACATGTATGTGTATTACATATTCAGAATCAAACAAGTTTCAAACATGTATATTAAGTCTTCAAAATCAAACCACAGGTGTGACAGCTTAGTGACCATAATTTGTCATTCTAGACATAAAAACCTTGTATAGAAATATTTTATTTTGATATAGCTGTTGCATGAAACAACAAATAAATTAGAAGTTCTAATTGTAAATTTTTGAATATGTCACTTTCCATTTTTATCCATTTCAAGAACAATTTTGTTGAATGCAGGTGTATGGGTATAGGATGTCTCTATGGGCTGAACACCTTGGAACCCTTCAAAACTCTTTCCATGAGCCACAGACTCTTGGATGTGTTAGGAAAGTCAATCAGATTGCCACACAAAACTGGAAGGCATTCGTGGCGGAGGATCACAAAGAAATGATGGGGCACTTGATGCAATATCCTATTCAAGTAAGCAGAAGTGGAAAGGTGAGTCCACTGCCCGGTCACGAAAGCTTTCCTGATGTGGGTGGTAAGATTATGGGAGCACCTACCAATCTCCCTGATGTGCTTACCACATAACAATTTCATCAAAGATTTAAGCTAAAATGCTAAATGAAACATAACTGTTCAAACCACTCTAGTGCATTGCATTTGAAGGAAGGAGGGGGGCTATGATACAAGGATTTTGATGCAAGAAAAAGCAGTCCGGGGGGGGGGGGGGGGGGGAGGTAGAGAAGGAGGTACCACTTGCCAAGCTTCAAGGTCTTGCAAAAAAGCTTTACAATGGTTGCATTGCCTAGCTGATTTATGTTAACAAGAGGGTATGCCTTGAAGAGCCAGATCTCCTCCAATAAAGTTTTTTTCCGTTTCCCTTCTTGTTGGACCACCTACTGTCAATTCAAACAAAACTCATTATACATAAGTGGATCTCTCGCTCGTTAACAGTAGATGATCTACCAAAAAAAGAAAAAAAGAAGAAAGAAAAAACGGTGTTGGAGGTCTGGATCCATGCCTTCATTAAGGTGGGGGGGGGGGGGGGGGGGAGTTAGTGAGCATGGTTATGTTGTTTATAAGTTGGAAGTATATTTGTCTGGTGTAAAATCTTATAAATAATCTTATTAGTTTATATAATACTCAATGGTAAATTGAAATTGGTGAGGGCTGTGTTGCTCATGGTTCAAAGTATCGGTTGATTCTTATTCGATTCAGCATTTCGAAACGATACCATTACATGATTGACTCGTTTGGTTGCCGTATTAAAAATGAATGGATTGGATAAAGTTATCAAGTATAATACAATATCGATAGACAACAGACAAGATTAAATATGGGTATTAGAATAATATGTAGTTTTATTTAGTGTTTGACAATATATAATATAAGAGTTAGATAATAAATATTTAATTCAATTGGTTGTTTAGTTAGAAAATTATTTCATCATATTAATATTAAATTAACAAAAATATCCTCAATCAGTCCGTCAAAGTGTTTGTTATGTTAATAACAACCTTTTTTTTTGTTATCATTTGTGGGGTTATAAATGTGTCCGCGATGTTGCAATCGATTTATCTTGGAGGTCTCTAGGTTGATGACTGATGTTGTGGACTTGATCTGTGGTATTGCTAGATTGATAATAATTGTTTGTGAAATATCAATATTGAGATATTAGGAGGAATCATCTGATAGGAGAGAGGCTTTGGACCAACTTTCTGATCAAAGAATAAATAAAAGGTTTCTAAGAGAAACTTAGCATAGTAGACCGCATAGCGCAGTGGATTAGCGCGTCTGACTTCGGATCAGAAGGTCGTGGGTTCGACTCCCACTGTGGTCGGATCACACCTTGCTGCTACTACTCTTTTTCAAAGAAAAGAGAATAATAGACCATTCATGGTATGCAACACCTGATTTTTCAGGGGTATAATTAGGAAGCGAATTTGTGTCCGGTTTTATTTGTTTTTTGTAAAAATATATTTCACTCATATTTGATTTATTTATTAATTCGTACTTAATAAATCGTATTATATTGAGTTCGTATCGTATATAATCGATACATAAAATGAATTATGCCGTATATTTTTTTTAATTGATTTCATATATACTTAATTCATTTACTAATAATGTCATGTCGGATTCACTTCTTTACGAAATGAGTGACTTAAAAACCTAATTTTATATTATATTTGTGCTATATTAAATGATCGTGTTATATTTTTAGCGAGACCCCTTCTCTTTTACTCAATAAAGGTGAATAATTTGACAAGAAGAAAAATAAAAGAAAAAATATCGGAAAATATGTGTCCTAAGAGTAATTGTGGTAAGGAAATTGAGGTCCTGATTGGTGAATAAACAATGTTTTGATTTGGTATTTGATTTCCATGTCGAAAATTTGAACTTTTTTTAGATGTTGATGAAATAAAATTATAAAATTTGTTTTAAATTTTAATTAGATGCCCGTTTTAAATATTGTTTCAAATATTTTGTTTAGTCAACACTGGTGCGATATGCTTGTTTTGAATCGCCAGATAGAGATAAAAGAGCAACTACAGTAGCGACAAATTCTTCCTCTCCCCTGTTCTATTAATACCCCCTCAGTTCGAAAGCAATCAATTGAGCAACTAGGAGCCTCCATGCCTTCCCTTAAAGCCTCATTGGCGATTTATTCAAATCAATTTTAATACATTTTTTTATTCTAAATTTTAGATCACTTACTAGATAAGATTCTAAAATGTATTAAACCCTAAACTCGATTTGACACTTGAATTGCATGCCTCAATCTAAACTTCTCTTTGGACATCTTCATATACAGACTTCGCTTCAATACTGTTTTTAATTTTTTGGCACCATACCAAAAATGTAAAAACGGTCTATACTTACCACCTATACACCCTAAAACCCATAACCGGTTTCACCGGTATATACTTTATAAACAATAATTGATAACAGAAATTAAAATTAATTTTAAAAAATGATAATTATTTGTTTTATTTAAACTTGAATACAGATTTTATAATGTCTATCATACCTTGAAAATTTCATACGGTGATTTCAAGTATTTACTTGACTTCCGTTTAAAATTTCTTCTTAGCACCTTTGCGCTGTATTTTTTTTGCGTGCATAAGTGTGAAGCCTGTTGAAGGTGAGGTGTGTTTACAATGGTATTTGTGTAAAAGTCGAAGAATTTTTATGAAAAGGGCAAAACGATAATCAGCCGCTATGGCACGAGTTTAACATCCAGATTTTTCTAGAACTTGGATGACAAAATGGGCTCACAGTTGGAATCGTCTCGTGAAATCTAATTATTCAGTCAATTTTCGTTGAATTTCGAGACAGTTAAAATTTTTGCGTTTTATAATACGATTGAGTGTCGTGTGACCAAAATAAACTCGATTGAGTTTTAAAATTTTGAAATATGAAAAATAATTTAAAGTTAGTTCAGATAAAATATATTGAACTTAAAACAGGACGAGAATTAGTCGATTTGGGACAAAAAAAATTGGATTAGGAAAGAAGGGACGTGTGGCGCGTTGTGAGCCAAGCATCAAAGGGGTATAAAAAAGGGAAAAAAATCAAAATTTTCCCCCAATTTGGCTGCTGAATTTTGATAGAGAGAGAAAGTGATGAAGAGAGAGAAAATCAAGGGTTTCTTCATCTTCTTCTTGCGATCCAGGGTTAACATTTGGTCACATTACTTCGGACTAAGAATTAAAGTTTATTTACTTGACGAGAGTTACGTCTATGTACCAAAATCAAAAATTTTGACGATGTCTCAAGAGCAAGATTTTTGAAATCAATTTTATTTTTTATTTTTTTTGAAGGGGAAGGGGACTTGAACCCTTGACCTTGGAAAGACAAAGTCTTCACAAGATAAGGAGTACCATTGGACTAAAGGATTTTTGGAAATCAAATGCTAAATCTTGAGTTGTGTTTTTTTGGAGTTCCTACCTTTCGTATTACGCTTTAAAAAGTAGGGTTCTTCTCTTAACTAGGTTTAATTTCAACCTAGGGTTTCATATGAAATGGGTAGCATGAATTTAGATGAAATCTCTTGTCTAAATGTATTTCCAATGTAACTAGAGTATGAGAAATAATATAAGAATGTATATAACTAATTTTTGCATGAATTAGGTTTTGAGTGAAATTGCTCGTTTTGATAATTTCATATGAAATGTGTTAATTGGGCATGTTATGTGTTTACATTTATATTTTGAAAGTGTTTGATAAAATGCTTATGTTGATTTAACATGTTGGTTTTATTAAAAACATTATAACATGCTTGGTGAAAATTATAAAATGTAATTATATGCTCATAATATAATTGTCATTATGAAAATAATGTATGTCAAACTACACTCATGATATGCTGAACATGACATTGAAATTGTAATTGTACATTATATTGCATATGCACGGGAAACATCACATTTGTAGGCACGTGGCATGGGTGTGGGTGTGTGCATGGTTTTGAATCAAACACCATTGTTGGTGGATGATGCGTGGGCTCGGAAAAGTTGGACGAAAGTGCGATTAAGTCACACGGGTTGCATTGAAAATAGGGTCGGGGTTAGCAAGAAGGGTTAGATTGTCCCTTAGGTGTAAGACCCGATTGTTTGGATACGCCCTTCGTTGGTATTGAGTTCATAAAATGTGTCGGCGTATGCGGAACCGTTGGTGGAAGTCCATAAATGTCGTGTTAGGTGGGTGCCCGTTGGTGGAATTCCATAAATGCCTACACTAAGAAAGACTCGATATTTATAAATGGACATTGGATGTGTAACATCAATGGCAGGGCTTAGAATGCCTAGCTTCATATGCATGACATTGCATGTGTTATGAGAGCTGGTAAAGGCTTGGGTTGTGTTGCATGTGCGAGTTTCACCTTATACCATGACATGACATTATGATATTTATTCTTGAAATTATATGTTCATGGATGAATGTTTGTTTGATTGTTGAATGACAAGAGAGCATTTCATATACATCTAGGTTAAGGAGTAGTCTCCTTAGGATATACCCTATTGAGCATGACTCACCTTTTATTGGGACAACATTTCAGGTGTGGGATAAATGCCGGTGGATGGCTCTCACTTGGCCCTTATTGATGAAGGAAGCCGGGTTGTGGCTTTAAATTACATTTTTGTAAAACAAGTGTGTAATTAGTTTTTGGACAAATAAGATAAAGATATGTCAAAAGTCCCCTGTATCCACTTTCATTTCATCCAATTGTTATTCAAATTGTACATTGGAATATCTTTCATTCTAGTGAACATGGAATTATAGATTCCCTTTATTCTTTCATAGGGGCAACTCGTCTCCACATCTATCCCCCCATTCTTAACCCCAATATAGATTCTACATCCTTAAGACAAAACTTTAAGGATTTTTTGTGAATATTCAACACATGAGTCAAGGTCAAAGTGTTCAACCACCTAGTCACACAAATCTCTCCTCAATATTTTGCATTTGAGGCTTGACAAATCTCTGAATCAAATCTTTTCAACCCCATATTTTTGTTCATCGTTAAACCGCTCTATTGCTTTCACCATCATTCTAGGTGAACATCTGGTTCTCAACTGGACCAT